TCTTCCCGGTCAAGATAGATATAGAAGGGAAGGAGCCCTCTCGCTCGGTTAGATAGTTCCACCCCAGAACTGAAATTGGAAGTCTTGGAATTTCTTATTTCGGTTGTAGCGCGAGTAATAGTTTGGTGAACCCTTCTCGATCGTCTTATTGGTAGTAAGCGGCTTCTTGCCTGGTGCATTGCCTTCCTTTAAGTTTATTGTACTACTCTTTTCTCTCTTTCCCGCATTCGTTCATTTCTTTCGACTTCTATGACTGAACTTCGCTTCGCTTCGTTCGTTGGGAGTGGATTAAGTTTACTTTCTTCCCTACTCTATAAGTAAGTTCCTTTTAGGTCTAAGCTTCTCTGCCTGCTTTGCATTATTAAGATCTTAAGCTTCGGTAATCATTCCGAAAGCTCTGAATCCTGTAAGGATTCGAAGTAGTGTCTCAGTGTAACCGACCCCGCAGGGCATAAGGAATGAATTACTTGATTCTCTCATGATAAAGAGTTGACGAATACCTGAAAGCTAGTGAGAGAGAGACTAGTCGTCTAGCTCTCACGTATGTCAAAGGATGTGCGAGCAGGTGAAGAGTTCCCAGTCTACTCGACATGCCGATGACTTCTTACATTACAATACGCAATTTTTTGATCTGACTCTTGAGTTGAACCGTTGAACAGTAAGTATAGCGATGTGAAGGCGCGACAGCCCTCCTTTCAGAGGAGATGTATAGCCTTGGTCTTGGCCTTGAACCAGGTTTCCCAAGTTTTCTTACTGAGTGAAGGGATGCGGGGTATCCTGGGCTCTTTGAGGAAGGCTAAAGTAGACCAGTTGATAAGTCCACAGCTATGGATAAGTGGGTAAGTCCACTACTCGTGGTCTTTCAGAGCCTTGAATGGAAAGTCAGTTCACAGCTGCTCCCAAGGCAGGGAAGTTGAAGCAGCTCTGGATCTTGGTAGCGGGCAAGTCCCAAAGACAAGATCTTAGATTGCGAGTAAAACAAAGAATAGTAGACATTCACTCCCAACTTTAGAAGCTTTTTTCAGTCATAGAAGCTTCGCTTCGTTCGTACCCCAAAGCTGCCCCAAACTCAAAGCCGGCTACTGCTACATCACTAGCATACTAGGTTTAAGCTTGCTCCTAACTACTCCTAATTTTCCGTCCTATTCTTCTCGTTCCTAACCGCTCTTTTCGTTTGCGATCCATACAAAGGGTATTGGGTGGGTATGGAGCCATGGTATAGTCGCATGCCCCAATTCATATTAATTGCTGGGCGAAGGTGATCTCGAACATCCCTTACGCAATTATATGATCAGAAAAGTGATACCCGTTGCTTTTTCTTGTTTTTGGCTTATCACCCAAGGGAGTTTCAAAAGATGCGTTCTCAGGCATTAAATATCGGCTGAAGAGGTTCGATTCAATTGACCCTTTCTCGATGAGTGGGCCTCCCAGCTCAAATGCGATTAGAGCGCAAGAGGCGTCTTCTCTAAGGAACGAAGTAACTAGCTCTATCAGAAAAAGGGGCGAAAGGGCTAGAAACCTTTTGCAGGTCTCGATTCAGTTTTTGACTGAACTTCGCTTCGAAAAGTTTGTTGGGGAAGGTCAATTATATCGAGCCTTTAACCCTTTGATTTTGCGGTTTGAGATCCGGGTACTTGTGATCCAGTTCCAGGGGGAGTTGTAAGCTATGCCCCTTTTCTCTGCCTCAATTACATCGACCCTTGCAGCCAGTGGAGTGTGTAGGGTTCTAGGGATGTAAGCCAGTTCAATCAGGCCTTCTTTCTTCCCGGATTGGTTTGAGCGCTTATTTCCTTCTTCTTTCCTCTTCACTCGATGTCTGTCCATATAGAGAGCTCCGCTAAGCTACTACTTTGACTGTTGAGAGGAGAGATAGGCGTTAGCACGTCGACGAGAGCTTGCTGGATGAAAGCAGAGCAGACTAGACTGAGTTCAACTGTAATACGTAAGTTTACATAGAAGGCTGGATTGTTTGTCTAGTTCCTAAAGAAAGCTTGTTGACCTATCTATCGGCCAAGCCACTGGACTAAATGTCCATCTATTCATAGTTGTCGGCTCAACCAAAACTTCTATGACTGAACTTCGTTCGATTACATTGACCTTTCCCTTCCTTAAGTCACTGTTAGTTGCATAATATAAGCTTCTTCTTTGTGATTGCCTTTAGACGGATAATTTCCTTATGGATGGCTCATACATGAATTGAATTTCTTTCCGGCTCTCTTCATCAGTCGATAGTTTGCTCAGAATGGATTCACTATAGATGAAGAGGGACAAGCAAGCCTCATCTGATCAAAGGGGCGTAGCGTAGCCTTTGATTCACGAAATTTTCGGTTTTATCTGCTCCCCAACAGTTCGCATATTCCGTTGCGGTGGGAGGGGAGTCTTCAGGGCGGTAGTTCTTGACTTGTGTCCAGATTTCCAGGCGGGAGATTGAAGTGTGCATCTGCCTACCGAAATTCAATTGGAGTAGGTTTCGTCTCTCTCTTCTTATCTTTCATCAGGACGGGCTGAGATAGATAGGCTATAGACTGTTTCGATAGATGTCCCTTTCGGGTGTGTGGATGTGCTGCCTTCGTAGGAAGTTGTCAGACTCCCTTGAGATAGATTAGGAATTCCAAGAGCATCAACAACCGCTTAACTAGAAAAAAAACCTCTGCGTGCCATCTCCGTATATGCCTATCAGTGAGCCTCGCGGCTCACCTTGCCCCCAGTAGGGATCTCTTTGCTTGCTAGGCTAGCTCCGGCTGATGAGTAGCAAGCAAAGAGAGAGGATCTATGTAATTGAGAGAGACAAGACACCTCTTATGTTATGCCGGAAAAGTCAGAAAGTCAAAAGTGTTAACGTGCAGCTCCCATTCCGAATCCAAGAGAAACCTAAGAGAAGACCATGCTAGCAGAAGGCTTAGGCTTATTACATTGTTCTGAATCCCACCCCCCCTATATATATTGAGTAAGGCCTCAATCAGTTGATTAGCAATCAATGCTAATTAAAGTTAAAGAAAAAGGACAAGAACACCTTTTGATTTTAACAAGCTTCCAGCTGCTAAGTTGACATGAACGGTGCACGAACGATGCTCTGAGTTAGCCTAAGCCTGGGGTTACCCCTTTTTTTGTGAACGGATTCTGGTCGGTTTGCTAATGTAGCTTGTTGCTTCTTTGAAGCGTATGGGTTCTTCTGGTTGCAGCTCGAAGCGTAGATCTGCTGCCTTAGGGAAATGGTCTCGTTGACCCAGTGGATTCAGAATCTGTCAGATAGATGGGAAGTGGCTAAGTATGGTTCAGTTCACGAAGGGACAGAATCCGCTTATAGAGGGGGCCCCCGCTCGCCTATCTATAAGGCGACCAATGTCAAACTCAAGCCTTGCCAGCTTAAATATCATATAGAGCTCCTTTAGTTAGGAAGCTATCGAGCTCTATGTGATGGACTGTTTATGCCTTGTCGATCTTGCTACTTGAATGAAGCCTTCCTTCTTTTTTCTTCTCGGTCCGCCTTGACTCCTGATCTTGAGCTCGCTTATCTTGGCCTCAGGCTTGGCTTCCTCTTGGAGTCCTTGCCTTTTCGTTTAGTAAAACCTTGGCTTGGTTGGCGTCTGGCGTCAATACAACAAAAGCTGCTTTCCTGTTTTATTTTATGCTTATCTAGTATGCTTCTTTCTTGCTGGGTAGCTAGTTCAGGTGCAGAATAGGAACTAAAGGTTGATTACAAGGTTCGATGTAATTGAGTTCTTTAGTTAAGGTAGTCAGTCCTTCTTTAGGTTAGAAAGAAAGGGCTCAAGCAGCCTCTCTCGGTGTGCCTTATAGTACTACCCTTCCCCAATCCTATCTTTCGTAGCATGCATTCCCATCCTTAAACTGGTCTAATGAGCGCTCACTGCTTGAATTTCTATTCGGTGGCCGCCTACTTCTTTGGTTCTGAAACCAACCTCCACTCAAATCAAAAATCTGTACTTACTCATGTCTTTCTTGCTTGGTTAACCAAGGCAAGGGCGATCCAATCATCTTTGAAATCTGTAATTTCTTATTCTCACTGGCGCCCAAGCCAAAATGTCCACACCAAACCCCTTGTTGGCAATATCGGCGGAAGCTTGAAGTGTGAAGTGAAAAGCAAGCCTTAGGTCAATCCCTTTTTGAAGGACCTTCACCAACATTGGCTTCATTCTTACCTATGATATCCCCCAAGAGCTGATTCGATAGCGGGTGTAACAGAATCTTAGCTGCAAAGGCTACTGAGCCACTGGGCTTCGTTCACTCCTAAATCAGTGAATCCCGGGAAGGGAACTCCGAAATCCATTTACCTTGCTAGCTTAAGGCTTAATAGTTATCCCAACTAACCAAAAGGAAACCAAGGAAAGCAGTCAAGCCGAAACCAGTACCATCCTCAAATGACCCAATAGGCGTACGAATATCTGCTTCGAAAGGACCAAGAAAGTCTTTCTTTACACTATTCTTAGCATCTCGAAAGAAGCAGTCGATTAGTGTCTCATAAGGAAAGCCTTAAGGCCCTAGCTTGGTTTCGGGGGAGAAGGACTAAGGATCAGTGGACCTAGAGGAGATAGAAGCTGTAGTTAGGGTTCCAAACCTGCCCTCGGGCTGAACTGCTGACTGACGAAATGACTTATGTTGTCTTGAGTCGCCTAGCAATGCTCAAGGATCTCGCCTAGCGGGAAGGAAGGAAAGAACTACTCCACTATCGACGGGCTCCTATCAAGATATACTAGGGAGAGTCCTCATTCGTAGGGGAAGCGATATAGAATGGAAGCAAGAAAGGAGGGTAGGTGCTCTTTCTCTTGGCAAATTGAAAGAAGCTAAAGGAGAACATGGCGAATTGGAAGGGAACTATCTGCAGACTAATTACTAGTATGATCCAGTTCTTCTATAGCAAGCGGGGGAGTCAAGTCAAGTAGAAGACAGATCTACTGACGGACGGATACCACTAACTTACTATGCTAGAGAAAAGGCGACCAAACGGAAGATAAAGAATAAAGTAATGCATTTTCAAGATGGAGGACAGATCTATTGCTTTCTAAAGAGATGTAAGCAGTACGGGAGAAAGCTCGACCACAGGGAAAAAGGGTTACTCACTAGCATGCGATATCCATCAATACGATCCGATGTCTGCGCTCAAGCCGAACCTGATATGCGAACAAACAGGGTTAGCGGAAAACAGGAAATGTAGTAATTCGAGGAGAGCAAAGTGAGATTCAAAGAACAAAGCGAAGCTAACTGACCGAAGCGAAGCGAAGTGAGACTAACAGAACGAAGTGAATGTAATCGAAGAGTATTAAGCTAGCGAAGCGAAGCGCAGTGAAGTCATAAAAAGTGAAAAGTCAATATAGTTATCAACTTTTGCAGCTATATGAGATGAAAAAAGTCGAATTGAAATGAGATAGATCATATCTGGGTTCGGTAATCTGACTTGATTTCACTTAGTGTTAGGTGTGCTAGTTCGGCTGGTTGAGACCTCACTGTGACTCGCCTTGCTGCACACATAGGTTACCGTTCTACGATTGATAACTGCTTCTCTCCCTTTTGTTGGTCGAGTATCCTCTGCTCCTCTACTGGCTTCTAAGGTAGGACCTGATGGTTTGATTCGCTTTACAGACTAGGGGCCCTGTGCCCATTCTTCGAGCGAGAAGTGTACCGACCTCGATCAAACTATTTATTTCATAAGAGAAGAAAGATCGTAGCGTAGGAGAAATCATTTTGATTCGAGGCGGATCCCTTTTTTCTTTGCCTTTATGAGTTGAGTAAAAAGCTTTCTCTGGTTCTAACACTCTAAAAAGCGGCCGTTCACTTCAGGGTCCGAAGGAGATGTAGTTGCAATAACTTTGATTTTTTGTCGAGATTGGCTTGGTGTTCAGTCTACCGCCTGTCTAGCCTATGCGAAGGAAGGAATGGAGTCGGTAAAGAAGACTGGAACCAATGTTCCATCCAGATCAGTACGAATCCTAAGCCAACTGAGTTATCTCGTTTGGTGTGGGCATTAGTTGTGTTGTAAATTCTCGATGAGAAAGGTATTATTATATTATGGAAACTTCTCAATAAAGTTACCTTTTTTGGAAAGACTTAGGCTCAATGGCTCAATCGCAGCTTAACAGGCTCGCTGCATCCTTCTTCTTTTAAGAGTTCTTTCGAAGCCCCTTTCTAACACCTTCTTTTTCATTGGTAATGGTTTCAGGTTCTGAATGGATGTCCCAATTGGGTGAATTCTTAAACCTTCGATCCCCAAAAAAAAGAAAGAAAAAAGGCTTGGCAGCAACTCTCTCCGGGCCTATCAGCCTGGTCCGTCTATCTGCGTTCACCTCAATTACATCGACCCAACGAACGAAGCGAAGCGCAGTGAAGGAAAGGTTTAAAGATCTCGACTATAAAGGAGAGGAATGCCTATGGCTTTTCTTTAAAGACTGGCTGCACGATTCGGGGGAGAGAGGAGTTCAACCGCTCAAGCATATCAAGGGATTCAAGGATCTGTGGTTCGGGGTTCGGAAAGGTAGGTGGAGTATTCAGTGACAGTAGAAGCTGTTCCGCTTTCAATTGTAGTTCTATTTCTTGCTTGAGGTGATACTCTATTTTCCCCCGGCAGGCAGATAAACCCGAGCGGGCAGCCTCCGGTCCGGTAGGGGTATTTAAGCGATAGGGCACGCATAATCTATGACTGAACTTCGCTTCGCTTCGTTCGTTGGGTAAGCTCTCTGCTCTATTTGCTTGCAATGCTATATATATCTATCAAAGTTGGCGAACGCTTCTTTAACCTTAGACTCGTTACGCTGTTCGAATGAACTCGTTGGCTCCGCGTCCCCCGAAAGTCGGTAACGTAACCTTCGTCACCGTCAGCATTTGGTACTCTCTCGATAGCTTCAATAGTGAACTGAAAGCTTTTGGTGTAATTGTAATGAACCGCAAGCCCTTCAGAAAGAAAGACATAAAAAAAAAAGCTTGGTTGCAGGAACTGACGGTGACGAAGGTTACCGGGCCGATACGACCGGTTCCTGAGAACCGTAAGGTTGCAAGGTTCCCGGGAAACAACGGTTCCCTTTGTAAAGTAGGCTTTTTGAAATTAGAGTTGACATGAAATGGATCACGGAAGAAGACGTTTCCGATGAATGAATGATTCAATCCCCTCCCACTCACACGGGTTCTTCTATTGAAGGGCTTCCCCCTCTTCTATGTGAGGTGGGGCGTACGTAAGAGCGGAACCTATATAGAACTCGTAGCGCCGGCTCCCGGCCGCCGATACTGTTACCATGCTTACCAGCTTTTACCATTGCCGCCTCTAGATATAGATGGGAGGTAGGCGAAGGTAGCTTGCTTCTCTTCTCCTAGGCTACCTGCACATCTTATTCGCGAAGAGAAGAAAAGGCAGCGAGCGGTTCTTCGCTTAGTAGAGCTACCGGCCGCCGGACGACGACCGCTTCTTGTTCTCGCCCAGCCGTTTCTTTTGATTTTTTTATTATTTTTAATCCTAGACTAAAGAAAAGAAGAAGCTCCTGAATCAGCGCAGGGCCAAATCAGCAGCAGGGGAACTGTACTAACCTGCCGCCGGTGACTTTCTCAGGGCTCCGCAGGAGAAGAAAGAAGGTCCGGGTTAATTTTCTAATGAAGCGAAGGTCCCCCTTACTCCCTATTCTCTCTTAAAGCTTTATAAAGCTCCGCGAGAAAGGGTTGGTTAATCACTATTGACTGTAAACCATAGCAGTTACACTCACTCAATGGAAATGTTCGCCTTTGGAATGAAGATGGATGAGCAGGCACTTGAGCCTGGAACTGATGAAATTCGGGGGAAAGATGGAACCGGTCAGTATACTGGGGGGGCGAGACATGACCGCGACTTAAGATTCAACGTTGAAAAGACTAAAGGAACGGGGGGAATGACTACCTGTAATAAAGCACAGGCTAATACGAGCCGACCAGAAGAAGCAAGGCGCGATGATAATTGCCCTGGCTCGATGCAATTGACCTAGAGATGGAGAGCCCCTTGCCTCTCCTTTTCTAGGTTTTTTTCTAAGTGTTAAAACGGGTAGATTTTTCATTTACCAATGAATTGGATCCGCCCCGATTCGATCAATAATGGGATTCTTGTCTAGAAGAAAGGTTCTGTGACATGGACGCTCAGCCCAACTCGATCGGTCGGTTGGCTCACCTAACAGATGATGAGATTCTCGATCGATTTGATCGAATTTTGAAAACTCTTTCTCACTATTAAGAACAGTAGAGCTTTCGATCTTCATCTTCTCGCCTCCCCCAACAAACTTTTCGAAGCGAAGTTCAGTCAAAGGAGCTCGAATCGGAACTTTTTTGCGTTGGTAGGCTTTCGACTCAATCTAATAGCCGGGCGCCAATAAAAGAGAAAGTTTTCGCATGGGCTCATCATCTGATGCAGAACTTATTTCATAACCACCATCCATCACCAATCACATTCCATATCCCACTTCAAACTTTTTTTTTCTTCGGGTAGTCTCCTCTATAAAGGCATTCCAGCTTCAGAGGCAGGTGAGCCGGGTCAGGAAGGAGTTTGACTGCTGGGATGGGATCGGATCCTATTCGAAGCACTCCACCACGAAAAAGAAGATTCGGGTTGGATAGGCAGTAGAGATAGGAGTTCCTATCTATAGGGCGGGCTTTCAAGACAGAGATGCACTACTCCATCTGGAAAGGGCTTTCCGGCCAGAAGGGAGTAAAAAAGAAAATAGAAAAAATCCCTTCCCGGCCGACGGGACTCTACGTCTGGGTCTTCTTCCATCTCAAACTCGGATTAGGAAGAGTGCTTTTTTCTACAGATCAATCATAATAAACAATACAAGAAAAGAAATGGATTCTCCTGCCGGCGAGAAAGGAAAAAAAAAGGGGGGGAGATAGGGAAGAGGAGATTAAGGATAGATAGTCACTCCACTCCATAGATAGTGAAGATTTTTCTTTCATTTTCAATTCCTTTCAGATCAAAAACGCGGACTGCTGGTGGGGCAGGTAGAATGGCTTCTTCCGCTTTACAACCGGAATAAGGAACAACCTTAGAATGAACCCTACCTGTCGATGAAAAAATGGGATTTGAGAGGTGCGGAGAGGCTCGACTAAAAGGAGAGGTGCCCAGCTAGCGGATCAGAAAGATTTTGATGGAATATGTCCTACTCCTGCCTGAGCTTTCCGATCAACCAATCCCCTATTTCAGGGGTCTCTCTGTCTTAGGTAGGGCCAGGGATCTCTGATTAGTCGAATGAGCCCATCCCTCTGGCCTATCATTTATGGGTCGATCCGGCTGGCGGCTCCTGCATCTCCTGCGTCTCCATGGGGGCCCTTCATACAAGTTTGCTGCTAGGAGCCCCTCTAGTCAAATCAATAATCAATAGAAGAAAACTGACCCGGCTCGTCAATCGACGATCTACTGCTCCCTCTTAGTTGCGGATGCCCATGCTTTGATTCGAAAGCCCTAGCCAGTGATGAATCCCCAGTAAGATCGGAGTATTGAATTCCTCCTCCCTTCACCAGTTTGAACCCGTCCCAGCAACGAACACCTTCCTACTGCAAGGTTAGGCTCTGCCCTTCCCCTAGAATCCACTCCGGGTCGGAGGAGCAGCTAGCTAGT